GCATAAGCACCAGCCTGGCAAGTTCGAGGTTGTAAATTCAATCCTTGGTACCAAAAAAAGAAAACCAAAATGTTTTTCTTTCAAACTATAACATACCTTGGGAAATATTGATGTAGGTTAAAAAAAAAAAAAGGAAAAAAAAAAAACCCCAAGATGTTTAGAGATGATAAAGATGTTAAATGATAAAGCTAGACCAAATAAATGAATTATTACAGACACTAAGGAGTTAGGTCAGTTAGTCAGTGAATAGTTTCATGCAGGAGAGTGATACTGTTACTCCACTTCAGAATGAGTACTTTGGCAAATATGAGAAAGATACATTGGGCTGAAGGAAGTAGGGACAGGGAGGATGCAAGGTAAAGTTGTGGAACTGCAAATAAGGAGTCAAATTAAGAGAAGAGATCTGAAGCTGAGCACAAAAGCCTGTAATCCCAGCTACTGAGGAGGCTGAGGCAGGAGGATGGGCAAGAGGACCACCAGTTGAAGGTGAACCTCTGGCAATTTAGTGAGCCTCTGTCTCAAAATTATAAATAAACGAACAGGACTGGAGATGTAGCTCAAGGGCAGAGTGCCTAGCATACAGAAGGTCCTGGATTCAATTCCCAGCACAGAAGGGGAAAGGGAGGGTACAAAATGGGGTGTGTGGGGCTGGGCAGATCTAGCAAGGCTTCAAAAAGGAAAAATAATTTCCTTCAGCAACTGAAATTTCACATTCATAGTGTTTGTTCTTCTCCATAAATGTGCTGGGAATGAACAGAAGCTTCCCGGTTTGGGAGTGGCCTGGGAAGGTCAATAGCTGATCTGTTTCCCAGAGTCAAGTGGGAGATGGGACTCTCTAGGTGACAAGGCAGCATGGAGAGGCTGCAGGGACAGACCTACACAAATAACTAAGGCCAAGACAGCCTTATTCTTGGCTAGCTGTACAGATGATCTTTCCCTATACACCAGGAAATTTTGTTGCCTACTTTGTTTACCCTTCATCCAGAGATTCTGAAAGGGTTTAAAGATGGTCAATAAAGCACTTGAGAGGAAAATACGGTAGTTACATCATTTGGGTGTTTCTGAAAACATCCTTTGGCAGAGATCCAAAAGGATAACAAATCAACTATACTAGTTATTAGCTATAAAACATTAAACCTCACATTTAAGTTTCTCAGAACTGGTTTCTCCTTTACAAAATGCATTTATCATCATGAAATTATATCTTTATAAGATTATACTCTGAAGACTATAAAGAAATGTAAAATGTCTGTTATTTCTATTTTGAACTAATTTTATCTCATTTGGATGTATATTTTAAAGATTATACTTGTTAGTTTAGTATATAAAATAATTTCTTCTCTTATTTATGAACAAAAATCATGTTTAAATATGAAAAAATATTCAAAACTCTGTTCTAAAGATATTTTGTTAAAAAACAGTGAATCTCTTTATTTATGGTGTTCTCATTAACATGAGTAGTTACAGTAAAGCTAATGATCAAAATTCTGTAAGATCACTGGCATGCCCCCCTCAATCTAATACAAACACACACACCAGGAAGACTTCATAATTTGATCTGTTGGCAGTAAACATGGTCTGGTGTGGCAAGAGATAACTGGCGCTTAGAGCTTCTTTTCTAGTATAACCTATGATTTTTACCAAGCCCTAGAAAACAGAACTCAATTTAAAAAACAAATAGGAACCACAACCTCCTAGCATTAAAGACATAGCAAGAACCAGGCCTAGTAGCATACATCTATAATTCCAGTATACAAGAGGCTGAGGCAGGAAAATCACCATGATGGGTTCAGGCCAGCCTGGGTCACATAGTGAGTTCAAGGCCTGCTTGAACTAGAGAATAGCAAAACTACTGGTTAAAAAAAACAAAACAACAACAATAATAAAAAAACAAACAAACAAAAAAAAACCCCTCCAAAAAACTACTGTTTGGGCCAGGGATTTAGCTCAGTGGCATAAGTGCCTGCCTGGCAAGCGTGAGGTTGTGTTGTGAGTTTGATCCCTGGTACCAAAAAAACAAAACAAAACTTCTGGTCAAATCCCTAAAGAACTTAAGACACTCATTAGGGAAGTGATATAACTTTAAAGTTATTCACTATCAAACTGCCTTCAAATTAACATTCAAATTAATTTTTTAAAATACATTGCAAACATTAAGTATGTCCCTCAAGTCAGGGAAGGATTAGGCCTATTTTGGGTAAGCAAAATAAAGTAGGCTGGACACAGTGGTTCATGCCTGTAGTCTAGAGCTTTTTGAAAGACAAATAGCAGTGTTTGTCTGTAGCCTGGCTCTGAGGCAGAAGAATCACTAGGAGTTCAAGGCTAGCCTGAATTACACAGTGAAACCCTGTCTCAAAAAAAGAAAAAGACAGATATGGTGGCAAATGCCAACAATCCCAGCATTTGGGAGGCTGAAGCAGAAGGATTATTGCAAGTTTGAGACCAGCCTGGGCTACAAAGTGAGCTCAAGTCTAGCCTAAACTGCATAGCAGGACCCTATCTCAAAGAATAAATAAGTAGAAAAAAATAAAATAAAATAGAAAAGCAAAAAAAAAAAAAAAGAGGTATCACAAAGGAACCAGAGAAGAAACTGGATTCTAGCATTGCTGACTCTCAATATTGTCTTTAGGCTTTACATAAAGAAACATGCAAACAGGAGCATCCCCAGTAATGAAAGCTATGTGGACAATGTTTTTGGGATACTGGGTATGTTTTTCAAACAGACTGGAAAGACTACTGGCCTTTACTGGAGTTAAGACTAGTGTTCCAAGCACAGTTCCATCACTCACTAGTTATATGACACTGAAGAAGTTACTCAATCATCATCTGTAACACTACAGCAAATCTCACAATGTTGTGAGAATCAAATTATACAGGATATACAGGTATTTGGATACTAGCTTGCTTTCTTACCCCAAATTTTACCTTTTTACATCCATAGAAATACACAGGGGGAAAAATGTATATACGTGATCATTATAATTATTTGGCTAATTAAAAAAATCAGGATGATACAAACTTAATAGTTGGCTAAATTAAGAAATGGCCTAATTCTTTAATTAACTCTCAAATTAGTAATGGTGTAGAGTTATTACTAAGCTTTCAAATTAATTTCTGCCCATTTTTACTGATGTGAGCAAAACTTCACAAAAATAAAAAAGAGGGGCTTTCCCATAAAGATGCTACACTTTGCAAAGTTTAAAGGAAGCTCATGTCTCAATAAAAGGAGTTAATACACTATTTCAAAAAACCAGGTGTAATGGTGCACATCTGTAATCCCAGCACTCAGGAGGCTAAGGCAAAAGGATTGCTGCAAATTTGAGGCCAGCCTGGGCTACATCATAAGACTCTATCTCCAAAAAACAAAACAAAACAACACCAAAAAAGCAGACAGCATCCTCAGTTTTTTGGCTCAGAAAATAGATCATCAGCACCTGCAAAACTTAGAAACCATACAAATTAATCTCTTAGTGTCAGTAAGGCCACCAGATAGCAGTGCATGGTGGCAGACACCTGTAATCCAAGCTACACCTAAGGGTGAGGGGTTCAAAGACAGCCTAGGCTACTCAGGGAAGCCCAACCTCAAAAAAAAGAAATATGTCTGGATTCAGTCTCCTGTGCCACCAAAAGAAAGAAAGAAAGAAAAAAAAAAAAAAAGGAAGAAAGAAAAAAGGAAAAATAGATCCTTCACCATTTACAAGAACTCTTCCTTCTAATACTCACTAACCAAAAGTGAAAGTGATCTACCATATTTAGTGTGCTTTTGACCGCTTTTCAGAGTAATTCAGAAACCCCATCTCTCGGTGAAGTTAAATAATACATCCATTTCTAAACAAGTTTAGCAGATTAAAAAAAGTTAACTCTTCACTCAGACACTCAAAAAATAGCTTCTTTCGAAAGACAAACAGCAGTATCATGGATGTCTCAACTTGGTCTTGATACACAGGCTACAATTAAGCCCTTCACTCCTTTGAAGCAAAGGAGCACACAGCTTTTTATGAGCATTATATTTATGCACTGCAAGGAGTCCCAAGCATGTTTCTTGCCCCAAAAACATGACACACAAGAATAAAATGTTCTGCCCAAGGTCATGGAGCAAGCAATGGCAGTCTGACTCCCAACCATTTAGATGAGTTCCTCTTGGCAACATGCACAATCATGGGCTATATGAAAATAAACTAATTTTAATTTAAATGGGGTAGGGGTGGTGGTGGTTGAATTTCTACTGAATGCTTTCCCTGAGAATACCTGGTGATATTTCAGCTCTGCAGATACAGCATATTTTAATTCACTGACCTTTGAAATCAAGCATACATAGTGCATTAAAATGACAGTTATCAAGATCGAAGGCGCTGGCAAACACATTTTCTTTTACCAACAATCAACCCCTGGGCATTCTTCATTCTGCTCCACTGGTTCTCTGAACCACCCATCACCATGTCCAAGGCAGCAAAGTAAAAACCAGTGGGTGCCTTCCAACAGCCTGGCACAGAACACAGCGCCCAACGTGCCCCCAGAGCCTGTGAGCAGTCCTCTTCCTCTATCCCAACTTTCAGGAAAAACGCCTTCTCCTGCAATGCTGCTACGTGTGCCCTGGCTAAATGGACACACCCCTCTAGTGCTGCCCCTTCAGAATGATATCCTCACTCCCTTCTTTGCTATATAATATGTCCTAGCCTCTCATGAAGCGCTGTCGCCCACCTTTGCACGGAGAGAGGCCTTCACGAATTCAGAACACCGCCCCTTCTAACTCGATGGACAGCTCCACTCCCCTCACCACAGCTCAGCCCCCACCTCAACTCCTTGGGCAGGGGCGGGGTGCTGGGTGCCTTCAGCCCATAAGCCTGGGATTGCGGATGGCTGGCCACTGGTCACCACCCGCCGCAGTGGTAGCTCGGTTCTCCTCGCGTGTCAGCCCTCCTGTCTCCGCGCTGCCGGACACCCTGGCGGGGGCCCTGGCCGCAGCCCCGCGCCCACGACGGCCACGCCCCCGCGCTCACCCGCAGTCCGGGGCCGGGCACCAGCGGCAGTCCGGGTCCGAGGCCAGGTATCGGCGCAACATGAACTCCTCGTACTTGTGCATGAGCGGCGGGTCGGCGAGCAGCAGGCGGATGTCGTGCGGGTTGAGTCGCTCGCTGCACTCGGGGCAGCTGATAGGCACCCGGCTCTCGCTGATCTCCAGGCGCAGGTAGTGGCGGAGGCAGTCGCGGCACGAGCGGTGCGGGCAGCTGAGGAGGCGCGGGGCCCGTTCGGGCGGCAGCCGCACCAGGCACAGCGGGCACTCCACCTCCTCCGCGCCCGGGCCGCCGCCCTCCGCCGCCGCCTCATCTTCGAGCCCGGGCCCCGCGCCTGCCGCGGCCTCCGCCTCGGCCTCGGCGGCCGGCTCGGTGGGCAGCGCTTCTGGCGGCGGGGCCTGGGGTGCGGCGGGGGCCGGTACGGGCGGTGGCGGCGCGGCCGGGGGCGGCGGCTCGGCCTGGGGCTTGGCCCGGGCGCGGCGGCCGCGGGCCGAGGCGGAGAAGACGCTGTGGAAGGTGAGGCGCCGGCGCCGGCCGCCGCTGCGGCACTTGGTGTCGGGTGCGGCCGCGTGTAGGGATGTGGAGCGCGGCGACTCGGAGTCCTTCTCGGAGCCCATGGCCCACAGGGGCCGAGGGGCCAGCGGCGTCCCGCGCCGCTACAGGTCCTGCCTCCGCGCCCCCAGCCGGCGCCCGGCCGCCGCGCCTCGGCCGCCCTCTCGCAGATTACAAACCCAGCAGCAGCTACGAAGTGGTTATAAAGCCTCCGCCCCGCACGCTCGGGCCACTGCGCAGGCGCCGGCCTCGGATACCTCACAACCCGCTCCGCCGCCACCCGGCGGCGCTGGGAGGGCCGGGGCCGGGACGGGGGCGGGGCCCGGAGCGCGAGGTAAAGCCCCGCCTCCGGCCGGTCCAGCTTCCAGCTCAGCCATGTTGGGGACGCTCCCAGCTAGCCAGACCCGCCGGCCGCTGTTCCTGGTCTCCACCGCGGATTCCGTTGCCCCGGTCATCGGCCCAAGGATTTTGTGGAGCTCTGTTCCTTACAGATCTGGAGTAAAAATAGACCCGGCTTGACCTGACGGCGGTGATTCTCAGCTGATCCATTTCATAGCATTTCTGCTGATGTTTGTTAGACAAACAGCATTAGTTTCCTTTGTAACTTTTTTCTTTTTGTACTAAGAATCGAACCCAGGGCCTTGCGCTTGCCAGGCAGGCGCTGTGCCATCGAGCCACATCCCTAGCCCTGCAAACAGAGTTTGTTAACAGAGAACATATTCGTTGAACACAGTGTATGGTGCTGCTACAAGGGATCTGATAGTTCATATTTCTTAAGCTAGTATTTAACACTGTCTTCTTTTTTGTACCAGGGATTGAACTCACAACCTTGCACGTGCTAGGCAGGCGCTTGTGCCACTGAGCTAAACCCTCAGCCCTTTTCTTTGGTGTTTTGAGACAGGGTCTCACTATGCAGTTCAGGCTGGCCTTGAACCGAGGCCGGCCTTGAACTCACAAAGGTCCTCGGAGTCAGCCTCCCAAGTGCTGGGATTGTAGGCATGCGCCACCATATCTGGGTCGCTGTGTTTGTGCGCCCATCTCCCATTGTCTTCTTGGGACTTCGTTACTTATTTGTGGAAGGAGGCCTAGAGTTTCTTTCCTGGAAAGAGTTTCTTTCGATCCCCCTTCTCCAACTCCTCTGACTGGGGACCTTTAGGCTTCCTAATGGGAGACAGGCAGACAACTTCATCGGCAATAAAAATGTGTCAGGATTAGGTTTAATGAATTGGCCTATGGTAGAAACATTCTCTTTCCATGAAAAATGAATCCAAGTGTAGGGAGTCCAAGGCCACTCAGTCTTCAGCATTTAGTCTTAAGATTGCCTTATTATGGTTTCCATACAAACAGTGGGAGGAAACTGAGAAAACAGATGTACTTTCTTTTTAAGAAGACTGCCTAGGGGTGGGGATATAGCTCAGTGTCACAAGTGCCTGTTTGGCAAGAATGAGGTTATGAGTTTGATCCCCAGTACAAAAAAAAAAAAAGACTGTGGAAGTGTTTTATATAGTGGAATACTACTTTGCTATAAATAAAGATAAGTTTGAGTTCCTGGCAAGTGTGAGGTCGTGAGTTCCATCCCCGGTACTGCAAAAAATAAAATAAAATAAAATAAAGATAAGTTTGAGTCATTTCTAGTTAAATGGATGCATCTTGAGACCATAATGTTAAGTGACATAATTTATACACGTGTAAATACCACAGTTTACTATGAGAAGACGAGTGTAAATAAGGACCAAGATTTATATTAGGTATTGTGAAATAGGAAGAAAATGTTCCAAATGGGGAGGAGAATATGGAAGAAGGTAGAAGGAAAGGAAAGAAGGGAAAAGTGAAAAAAGAAGGATAAAATGGAAACAAAGCTTTTGTAAATGGAGAGGGGAGAAGGGGTTGAAAGTAGAATGGAAAAAAAAAGAATCAAGTTATATCATGTACAGATACAAATTCTCTATGGAGCCAGGGCCTCACTGTGTAGTCCAGACTGGCCTCAAACTCACTATGTGGCCCAGGCTAGCCTTGAACTCTCAGTGATCCTTCTGCCTCAGCCTCCTGATTGCTGGGACACCACCACACCCAGCTTGAAGTCCTGTACGTTTTTGCTTAAATGTGGCCAAAACATAAATCACTCATTAGCCAAAAATAATGTATTTAGCTGCAAGAGAGCCTGAGAATGGTAGGTGTTTTTGTTTTTTTGCTTTTTGTTTGCTAGCTGAGTACAGAAATAGGAGCACTAGGGTTAGTGACTAGCTCAGTGATGGAGCACTCACACAGTGAGGTAATGAGTGGAAGGCCCAGGGTTTAATCTCCAGCACCAAAATTAATTACATCAAGTAGATATACAAATAGCTCATTAAGGAAAAATAGGACTGGACATGGTGGAACACACCTGTAGCCTTAGCTACTCAGGAGGCTAAGGCAGAAGGATCACAAGTTTGAGGCCAGCCTGGGCAAATTAGTGAGTTTCTGCCAAAATTTTAAAAAGGCTGGAAGAGGCTTGCCTACTGTGCTCTGGATTCCTCAGCGGCACACACACACACACACACACACACACACACACACACACACACTCACACACAGCTATAACGAATACAGTTCTGCTGTCTTTTCACAGGCAGTATTTAAATCAGGGCCCAGAATCTCCAGACTTTTGAGGCAACAACAACAAAAACCCACCGAAAGAGGACCCAACAAAGAAAGCTGAGAAGCAGGGACTAAAGACATGAGAAAAACCAAACAGGCGTGATGTCACAGATGCCAAGATAAATTCTTTCCAGGAGGGAGTGGTCAATTGTGACAAATGCTGCTGACAAATCAAGAACAGAAAAGTGACCAAAGGATTTGGTAATACCAGAGAGTCCTGGGATGAGGGTGTTATTTTCAAGTAGCAAGGAGATATGATGCTAGATAGCAACACAATTACTATCGGTATGTTAGTTAAAATAGATTAGGCTCTGTTGTGGCACCAAGTGAACCAAATATCTCAATGTATGTTTTTTATCCTGTACAGCTTGCTATGGGTCAAAACCTTTTACAAGGTAGCTCTCCTTCATTCCATCCAGCACACTCAGAGTCAGACCCCTTCTATCGTGGGTGCTGTCTTTCAACACAAAGCTTTCAGGATTGCCTCCATAGCAGAAAGAGAGCTGGGGGGTTGTGCACACATTATTTTCCTCACGTAGGCAGAACTAGCACATAGGCCCCATCTAACTGCAGGGAGGCTGGGAAATGGGCGAAATCATGGGCTAATTTGGTAAGCATTATTATCTCGGCCACAGTTGCTGACAGTCATCTGACTCTGTCTTCAGTGCCCAACATCATGATCAGTTGCAGGCTGCCCTTTGAGAAGGGTGGGAGTAAGGGCTGCCTTGTTTCTTGGATCAGAGTGTGCTGAAAGATCAAGACTCCTGATTCCGGCCAGAACTAGATGCTTTTTAGGTGATTTTCTCTGTGGAGTTGATAGAAACAGCTTTCAGAACCCTAGCTTGCTGACAAACAGGGCACTTTAAATGTTTAAATGTTTTGCTACTGAAAAAAAAATGTTTTGCTACTGGCTCTTTTTTTTGGTACCGAGGATTGAACTCACAACCTTATACTTGCCAAGCAGGTACTTACGCCACTGAGCTAAATCCCTGGCCCCTGTTACTGGCTCTTAAACAACATCAATTTCAGTTCAAAACTGCCACCATCAACTGGGTGTGATGGTCCATAGCTGTAATCCCAGTACTCCGAGGCTGAGGCAAAAGGATCTAATGTTCAATGTTACCAGCCTGGGTAACTTAGCAAGACCTTTAGCTAAAATATAATGAAAGGACTTAGGATGTAGTTCAGTACAGAGGCCCTGGGTTCAGTCTCCAGTACCACTAAAACAAAAACCAGCCAACCAAACAGAACTATCACCATTAGTGCTTCGACAAAAAACCAACTTCTCATAGGAGACAGGGTATGTAGTTGAGTGGTAGAGTGCTTGCCTAGCATGCATGATGCCTTGGGTTCCTTTCCCAGCTCCAGGAGAAAAGATTGGCTCCTCAAAATGGCCATTGGACTTTGACTCCATTTCTGCTAGGTTTTCTTTCCTCCTGGTTCATCATCACCCTTGAAGACAAAGACTAAAGCAATTCCTCCCACTTTTTATTCTGTGTCTCTCCTTGATAGAAACTAAATAGTGACTCAGAGAAACGGCATGGAGAAAAGGATTCTTGTCTATTCACTCATTAATATTTCTTACACTTTGCATGAAGCCCTTTGCCAGGCAGTAGGGTCCTGGAGACAAAATACGTAGTTTTATGAGGGTTACAGAAAGGAAAGCAGATCATTTGGATATTTAGTGGTGTGAACATGTACAGAAAGCTCTGATAGACCTGTGGTGGTCAGGAAGGGCTTTCCTGTGGATGAACTGGACAAGAAAGCAGACCAGTTTGTAAGAAATGGAAAGTCTGGGGCGTATGGCGCATCCCAGTACTCACGAAGGCTGAAGCAAGAGGATTGACATGAGTTTGAGGCCAGTAAGACCCTGTCTGAAACAAAGAAACAACCCAAACGGAAGGAACTAAAATAAAAAGGAAGGAACTATGCTATCACAAGCAGGGAAGGGCCAACAAACAGATAAAATATGAAATGTTCACCAGAGATAGGTTAGGACTAGGGGACCAGGAACCTTGAATGCCAGGTTGAGGAGTTCAGAGTTTATTTTATTAAGTAGGAGGGCATTGGGACAAGCAAGAAAAATGATATATGTGCAATGAGGCTGGACTATAACACTTATTGTTTTCTTTCTTGAGGCTATTTTTTTTTTCTTCTTTGAGACAGGGCTTTGCTATACAGTTCAGGCTAGCCTTTATCTCACTTTGTAGCCCAGGTTGGTTTCAAACTTGCAATAGTCCTGCCTCAGCCTCCTGAGTGCTGGGATTACCGGCATGTACCACCACATCTGACCTTGAAACTATATTTTTGAGCTTTCTCTTGCCTTTCAAAATTGCTCTGCGAGCTAATTTTAATCATGTGTTACTGAGTCTTGACTTGGTTCTAGCTCTTGCCTCTGGCCACAGATTGACTCCTCACTGTTGTGATCCCCCTTTCCCTGTAGGTCAGGAGGAAAGGAGGCCTGCTCAGCCCGATCTGGCTCACCTCCCGTCTCCTGGGTCTCTTGGCCCTTTCTCATGCCATCTGTCTCAGTGAATGCCTGATAGGAAGTTTCGGGTCACCCTACTAATAAATATAAC